TGTAAGACATTGGCGCTTTTAGATTTGGCAACAATAATAATATATTTATATACATCAAAACTGATACACTGTGCGATAATTCACCATTAACTTTGAAATACGATAAAATATACTATTAAATGAAAGGTAGCCTTGTTTGTGTTAAGTATTTTTTTTTACCTTCCACCAAAAAGAAAATGGTGAAATTTTGCACATATAACGTTAAGAGTTAGCGAAGAACAGTGTTCGCGTAAGTGTAGCATTTCTACAAGCGACACTTTCCGGACTTCACAACAAAGCTACACGCATGGCTTCTTTTCCGTAAGACTGTTTTTCTTATTTGATTCGACATCTCAATGGCGTGAGAGACTCGTTCAAAACGCTTAAAGACGCATCCTTCCTCGTGGCCATACGTGCGCTAAAGGACGGGACATTTTTAAATATCTACAGGGTTGTTTCATCAACAGAGCTTATAAATGATTGAGGATTTCTATCCCGAACTGCCTGAATATCGCTTTATTATCAAGATTACAAAGGTCCCCCAAAAAATAATCATAGCTTTCATGGCTTCAAAAAAAATAATAATGTGTAAATTTCTGTCTTTAGTGAGGAATAATTATAAAAAAATAAAACATCTGTCATGTCCTCACTGAGTCGACCTCATAAAATATCCACATATTTATATGCAGTCCTGTCAAGAAGGAATGAACAAGTTAATATTGACAATAGAAAACACTTTACATAAAAAAAAACTGAATATACAAGAGGCGGTTGATTGTTAAAAAAGAAAGAAACATGATACACTTAAAGGAATTATCAGTTGTCATTCATTTATACATAGAAGTCTACAAAAAGATTTATTTTATTTCGGCACATAAAGAAGCCTGCAGGTCAAGTCAAATTCTATTAATGATAGGCAAGCAAACAATAATGATAAAAAACACCCACATATTTTTTCAATGAATATATATATATATATATATATATATATATATATATATATATATATATATGCACACACACAAACTGTTTTCATTATTCGAACTGTTGCCCTCATCTTTATTGCCATAACTACGGTGTTTCGACCATATAACGATCCGGCCTTCTTCAGTTGTTATACGTTGAATTCGATCCAATCACTTTATTTAAACCATGATCGTAGAGTGTTCTCATTCCACGTGCTATGCCTAAATAAATGGTTCGGTTAGAAATTCAGCATATATCGCTGAAGCTTACAGCGATTGAAACATCGTAAAAATGGTAATAAAGATGAGGACACCGGTCCGAATGATTTTATATATATATATATATATATATATATATATATATATATATATATGTATGTGTGTGTGTGTGTGTGTGTGTGTGTGTGTCTCAATTTTGCCACATTTGCGCAAAAGAAATATCAATCCCCGAAGGCAAAAAAACGACACATGTGCTGCCACTATTTGAGAATATTTCATACGATGGCATCACTGAAATCAAGTTGTAGTGTGTGTATATATATATATATATATATATATATATATATATATATATATATATGGAGAGTATATTTTTCCTTAGACATTTATCTTTTTGAAACATATACGCGTAGATATGTCCAAAAATGTTAAGCTCGACGCCCAAGAAATTCAAAAATAATCCTGAAATTTTGACATTTTTTGGAGTGTAGAAAATTAACTGATCTGAGAATTTTCTGACACTACCCATACATACATACAGGCGCGCGCTCTCTCTCACACACACACAACAACAGCAACAATAAAAGAAGACAAATTTACGATGTGTGTAAGTGCCGTACTCTGTATCTAAGATCAGTTATTCCGGATTTATTCATATGAATATGAGAATAGATGCATGGATATAGTATTAAATAGATTCAGTTTCACCTTCTTTTGTTCTGATGTTATTCTAGGAAAATAAAATTGCCAAGTGAGCGTTGAAAAAAAATAAAGTATCATTTTTTTTCGCTTCAAAAAATGACTCATTATTCTCTCTTAAAAAAAATCTACTATAGAAATGTTTCATATACTCACAGAAATATCAAAGGCTATCTTCTCGCTTGAGATGGAGATCTTTCCGCTTGGTTTGAAAATAACTTCGGCGACATTTTTGAAGAAGGTAAAAAAAAAATAAGATATTCTGGTACTTACCTGAAAATAGAAAAAATATATTATGCTGAGAACAAAGAAAATGAACGCTAAAAGAGGATGAAAAATAACAATTGGACAAAATGTGTAATAATAAAGAACAATGAATTCAAATATATATAATTTTGTTCGTGGAAGCGAATTCAGTAGCAAAACGTTAGAAAAGTCTTTTATATATATATATATATATATATATATATATATATATATATATATATATCTGCGATTCCTCAACCCAAACCGTTATCCATTACTCCACCGTGCCTCTTTCGAATTCCAGTCGAATCCATTACAGTCACTTACGTGCTAATACCCTTGTGAAAAGTATGAATCCTCTTCCTCTCCCTCCAGCTATGGGTAAAATAACAGGACAGACTGGGTTCTATAGCCTTGGATGGCAACTGGTCTAGGAGAAGGACAACTCTGAATTCAAAACCTGCGGAGGGTCGTTTGGGAACCTTGTGACATTCGGTGCACCAGGTCTCTGTATTCGTCCCTTCAAAAAGTGTGGATGGTCCCGCACGAGGCCTTCACCACTGTAATCAAATCTCATGTGCCGGTGTCAGGCTGTCGGTTTCCTGGAAACTGATCTGCTTGACCCTCATACGTCGAATCTCGATTGGAGAGTCGATTATTATTATTATATATATATATATATATATATATATATATATATATATATATATATATATATATTAATCGTTATCAACAGAAGCAAGGCAGTACAGCCATTAACACGCAATGATTTACAAGATGTGGAGGAATTAGTAGCAGAGACATTAGCAATGAGTAAAAAAAAAAAAAGAAACATTCAGAAAGACAATAGATAGCGATTGACACTGTATTTAAATTTTTGCAGATTAAAGTTGACTGAAAAGCCTGAAGCCGGAAGAGACTTCCACAGACGAGAAGTGCGTGAAAAGAAACAAACAGAATAGAAATTACACCTACATCTACCTAGCCCAACTATAGAATGAGATCTCGGCGCCAGTCAAGTATTCGGTTCAAATTCATATTGTCTAAACGAAGAGCACATCCGAAAATTTACCCTGAAAGTATTTATAAAAACGGCGCTTAGAGGCAACCTTACGGCCGTGGGCAAGTGACGGAAACCGAGCCGCCAGATCAGGACCAATAATATTGCTGATTCTTCATTGGATCTTATCAGTGAACTCCAGGTAAATAGCAGGAGTACTGGATAATATATGGCAACAATAATCTAAGCATAGACGAATAGCAGACTTAGAGAAATGCAAGATATATTCCGGAAAGAAAAATTGTCACGTCTGATACAGTAACCCGAATTTCGTAGCAGCTGACATAGCAATGAATTTAATATACACTTTCCACTTCATGGCAGCTGAGAACATTAGCCCAATGAGGTACATGTCATATTCCTGGAGGAGGATATATATATATATATATATATATATATATATATATATATATATATATATATATACCAATTTTTATAGCTCTCGTGTGTCTAAATGAAACAGCCACATATAAGCAGGCGCGTACACGTATGCTGGTGTGCATACGCAGGCAAGAAATAAATAATTGTTCGTTAGGTACTCGAATATGTACTAATATATATATATATATATATATATATATATATATATATATATATATATATATATATATATATCTATGTATGTATGTATGTATTTCAGCGTGCAGAAATTTTCTAGTCGCATACAATAAACCAGTTATTTTTAGTTTGAAAATCATTTTCTTTTCTTCATACTTTCACCGTTCCCTGTTATTTCTCACTAACTGATGGAAGTAATGAGTCTATCTAAAATGCGAAACTCATCCCCATTACATATTAACAAGTGAATAATATGAGGAACAGTGGGACATAACGGCATATAGTGACTGAAGCAAAGGTTTCAGGAGTAGGAATACAACACGTATTTCAATGTGGGTCGTGGGGAGAGGCTTTTTAAATATTTGCATTATGGCAACGGTGCCTGTATGGCCAAAGCAGACCGAATCCTACAGACCATGAGATCTCGACTGTTTGACAAGCGAAATAATCGACCTGGCAAGCAAATGGACGTGGTCTTAATGTTGGTTAGGTGCGCCTAATTACTAGCAAAGATTCCGCTTGCCAATCGCAAAGGCTGTGGAACGGTTGAGGTTTAGTCCGGTCGCAAGTGACAGGATTCGAGTAGAAGGAAGAAGGAGAAAGAAAAAGAAAAAAGAGAAAATTGTAGATGATGTTGGGGTGGATAAAAGTTCATGGGGTTTGTGGAATTTCATGATTGTCAGGAACTGGGGTTGCGGAAATCGTTCTCCGAACGTCGACGTCGTTTATAGATTTGTCCGTTCGTGATCATGACAAATTGCCTTTCTTTAGGTATCAGCACCTCACAGGGACTTTGAAAATATTTCGTCTCGAATTTATCTATCATTATTCTTTCCGCACTTCAACATATAAATACTTTTTTCCTTTTTAATTCTTCGTCTAGATATGTAAACTATTTTCTTATTTTTATAAAACTTCACTATCGTTCCTTCAATATTAAATTATGTTCTGCTTATCAAATCTACCATACTCCTTTAGGATTGAGACGGTCATGAATCTACACAGATTCTTGTCCCTTGCATCCCTGAGAAACATTTTACTCTTTACTATGCTCCTTTGCCTAACTTCTGGCTTCCTTTCTAACAAACTCATTAGGTAGATTACTCTCAATTTCCCTGTCGCAATTCCTTCAATAAGATTTATGGATGCTAAACATTCCACCGCTTGTTTCATTGTGTCCTAGAAGATTTAAATATGTTTCTGGTTTATATTATAGCTCGCTTTCTGTATCCCGTATTGATTACATGTTTACTCTATTGTGTGCTCAGCATTTTTTATAGGAAGAAAGAGGAAAGCAAGAAAGAAAGAGAAAGAGATAAGAAAGAGGAAAAAGAAAATGACAGAGGAAAATGACAGAGGAAAAAGAAAATGACAGAGGAAAAAGAAAATGACAGAGGAAAATGACAGAGGAAAAAGAAAATGACAGAGGAAAATGACAGAGGAAAAAGAAAATGACAGAGGAAAATGACAGAGGAAAAAGAAAATGACAGAGGAAAATGACAGAGGAAAATGACAGAGGAAAAAGAAAATGACAGAGGAAAATGACAGAGGAAAAAGAAAATGACAGAGGAAATGACAGAGGAAAAAAGAAAATGACAGAGGAAAATGACAGAGGAAAAAGAAAATGACAGAGGAAAAAGAAAATGAAGAAAAAAATGACAGAGGAAAAAGAGAAAAAAGACAGAGGAAAATGACAGAGGAAAATGACAGAGGAAAAAGAAAATGACAGAGGAAAAAGAAAATGACAGAGGAAAATGACAGAGGAAAAAGAAAATGACAGAGGAAAATGACAGAGGAAAAAGAAAATGACAGAGGAAAAAGAAAATGACAGAGGAAAATGACAGAGGAAAAAGAAAATGACAGATGAAAATGAAAAGAAGAAAATGAAAAGAAGAAAAGAAGAAAATGAAAAGAAGAAAAGAAGAAAATGAAAAGAAGAAAAAGAAAATGAAAAGAAGAAAAGGAAAAGAAGAAAAAGAAAAGGAAAAGAAGAAATAGAAAAGGAAAAGAAAACAAATAAGAGATAAAGGAAAAAGTGATAAAAGAAAAAGTGAATAAGAAAGGAGGAAATAGAAAAGAATTGGGAAACAAAAAAGAGAGATCGGAAAGAAAAGAAATAAGGAAAGAAAAGAAGAAAAATAGCGAAGAAGTAAAGAAAACTAAGCGTGGAAAATAAAAGAGAAATAAGAAAAGAGAGAAAGTAGAAAGAAAAAAAATGAATTGAATTAAAAAATAATGATTTATTTTTACAACCCCATTAAGGTCTTAAATAAACTACAAGCATTTAATAAGGCGTGAAAAAATAATCAGTCGGATTTCTGTGTCACAATTCTCTCGTATGTTATATATTTGACAGTTAATAAAGCATATTTATCTATCTTCATCTGCCAATATTTCTGAGACGAGGTATTGTAATTATTTACTTAGTTCTGACTGTTGTCCTCACTTTTAAGGACATATTCATACTATTTGGAATTTCGAACCGAAACTTTTTTTTACTCTGTGGTAGATTGTTCTAATTCCACATGCCATGCCTTTGGATATCTTAATTTCAGTTAACTAAACTTTCCAGGTTTTTTTTTCCCAATGCATTTATCCACTGGATCACGTGTCCTTACGGACATCATTGAGGGAATTTGGGGACTTGTAAAACTAATGTTAATGTTTAATTTTTGGGGACTTATAGACTTAATGTTATTGTTTAATTTTTTGTTGTTGATTTTTTTTAGCTCTCTTTATTATTGGTTCCCATAGTGAATTCAAAATTGATGTTTGGCCGGTTTAGGCGATTTTTGTAGCCTAGCCTATGCGCTGTTTCCTTAAGTTTTCGTATTTTCCAGTGATATTCATTGTGTATTATTTAATCTTCAATCAGTGATCTTCATTTTCCCTGCATATATAGTCAACCATGTCTGATTTTTCTATTTCCCCTCGTGAATATGGAAATAAAGATGAGGAAAGCTGTCCAAACAATGTGAATATTTATCCACCTATCTCTATTAAATGTTTCTGTATATATGCTTCTCTCCTTTCTCTCTCCATATAATTGATCGTTCCTCTCCGTATGTTATCTTTAAACCTCTCCAAAATTCAAATAATTGTTTAAGTTCAGTTCCTCCATTCTTTCTATCTCACTTTGTTTTAGCTATATATTATTTTATTTTTAAGCTATTAAACCTAATGTCCCCCAAAGAGCGGTGGCACAAGACCAGTTTATGACCTAATGATGAACGAGACTATCTTTCGGCATATTTTTTCCTCTTCTCACTCTAATTAGTCATTTTTTCAATTCATTTCATTCTATTTTCTCTCCTAAATATATCGGCTCCACAACTTTGTAGTTTTAAATAAGTTTTATCTTTTTGCTATCTCCCCTAATAACTTTTCAGCCAAAATATAGCTCATTTGACTCATTCTTCTATTTCTTGTATATTCAATTTATCATGTGATTGTTAAATTATCCAAACCTTGTTTGCTCATAATGTACACTAAGAATGTCTCTTTTTGAATAAAAAGTATAAATATTCTTTTTTTTTTTATTTTCTCTGTTAGTCACATGTTCATTCCATGCTATTCTAAGCATCCTAGCACCGAACCATATTTGTTGACATATTTCTCTTCTTCATGTGAGAAGATTGTCCAGCATTCGCTGCCATATTGGAGGACCGATATTATATTTAGTACACTTTTCACTTCCTTCTCACTATGTTTTCGGTTTAATACTCCGCTTTTTCCCATTCCAATATACAGTCAAATTTCGATGTTGTATTTTCTGCCCTTAATATTTTGATATTTCCACTTGCTTGATTTTCGGTTCTCCAAATATTAAGCTACTTTGGTTGTTCATTTTTCTGACAAACATATATTCTCTTTACTTACAATTGATATTTAGACATTTCTTCTCGTTTTCATTAATACCCTTTCAGGAGATTCTGTAGTTTGCTTTCTGTGTCTATTATCAATACTGTCATCAGCTTATGTAATATTAATATTGTAGCCACCAATAATAAATTGTTGTCGATCTGTTCTTCTCAGGATTGTGTCACTGTAAAATTGAATAAGCCCAATAAGAAGACAGTATTGTCTTAAGGCCTTTTCTCATGTTTATTTCCTTTGACTAGATCAGCCTTCAAGAAAATACGTCTTGAAAACTTTTTTATTTCTCTAAACGTTTTCCTATGATTTCTTCTTGCTTTTAAACGAAAATGATTATTCCCATTCTATACATTTTCCATTCAATGTTTCGATGTCTACCACCATTTGAAATCTTATACTCTTTGTTTTTCTCCCAAGCTGTCCACACCGTTTGCCTTTATTTTTTTTTCTTCAATCAAATTCTCTTCTTCAACCTTCCCAGATTTCATGACTTGCAATGGTGGCACCATTCAGAGCTTTGGTGGTTGTTTTATCCTCATGTTGACGGCTGGTCGGAATGGTGGCGAATGGCGCGTATTGAAGCTCTTAAGCAGACAGAACGGGTCCGTGAGTATCCGAATGGTCATATGCGTATAGATAGAAACGCATTTCAGGCCAATCGTACCACTCATCTTTGAAAGGTCGGACAGGGTCAATCAAACTTTCTCCCCATTTACGTTTGAAAAGCAATTTCACGGTAGGTTTGTTTCTGTACTCAACCCCACACTTAACTTCATTCCTTGCGCTTCTGTCAATCTGTCGAGATTATAGTGAGCAATGCATTCAACAGCTGCGGTTCAAATTCCGAAGTTGAAGGCACTAGACTAAATACCAGATTGATGACACTCTTCGTGTATCCTTCCTGACGATACAAGTTATTCAGTTTATTCTCTTGTGTATCGGAAACATGTGAAATGTTAACCAGAAATATACATGTAACGAACGCTCCAACATATTTTATCTCTCTTTACGCACACTCTTAAGAACATGGATGCAGCAGATGGTGCTAAAAAACTTATTATTCCGACCAAGAGCAAAAAATCGAGAGTTGAAACGTACACACAATGGCCTCGAATTTTAAACGCAACTAAATCATTACACTTTGTGCCTTCTGGGAGGATTCTAACATGCCTCCCCTAAGTGAAACCGTCATTAGAACTGATGTGTCTTGAACTCTCGAGCACGTCGGATCTCCTGATCAAATCCAGAATAGTTTTTTTGGACAAATATCTTTCCTGATTCTCGAAATATTCATGTTTGCTCTTTCATATCCTAACGTAAACAAAGATATTTTTTTAGGAATTCGATTAGACATATTTTCAATTTATTTATTTAAACGTTATTTTTAATGGATTCTCATATTTAAGTAGATGATCTGTTTTATTATTAAACAGCATATTGATTTATTTATATCTACCGACCTGAATAATTGTCTTTATAACGAAGCTGTTAAGTTTTCACAATACAACAAAAAATACGTTAAGTTAATTCCTGTGAATAATAGAAAGTTGTATAGTATTTAGTCGACCTAAGGATTTAATTTTCTGGAGAAAAATAACTACCTTTCATTAAGATATTTACAAATTTCAACATTATCTGTTATGTCAATGGATGCCGTATGCTTCCTGGATGAAAACGACTACTATTTCCCTATTTTTTCAAGTATAACGAAGAATGAACATAATTAAACATATGCGACGGCATTTAGTTTTTAGCGTCGATTTTAAGAATTTTTCCATTTGTTTTTAAATATTAAAATCGATTGATTGGGACACACATTATTATTGTCTGTATCAAACACAATAAGAAGCTGAACGTCTATTAAAGAAACTATAAGAAGAAAATAACACAGGATGTAAGAGATCTTGGCTTTCCAAAATTTCCTATCATTTGTAGCCTTTGATAAATTTAGTCTTATTGTTATTTTTCATAAACCTACTTCCGCCTTCCAACTAGGTTATGCGATGTTTTCCTCTGTTGCCTTCAGTTAGTCCTGTGAGTATAAGATTTTCCAAACACCTATTCTTCATTATACACGATAAAAAATTCAATGTCTCTTCAAAATTTGATGAATAAATCTAATTATGCTTAGTAATAAGCTTGTTTAGTTTCATGTGCTAAGGCTATAGTTATTCAGAAATTTGCATCTCAAAATGAGATCAAGCTTTTCTAAATACATACACACTATTATATATATATATATATATATATATATATATATATATATATATTATACACACACACACACACACACACACACACATATATATACATACACACACACACATATACATACATGCAAACGCATAAACACACACAGATACATATATATACACACGCACAGACACACATATATATATATATATATATATATATGGCATCGAAAGTGGAATCAGCAAAGTAGTGTCTTCCGGAACCGTAAGAATATTGATGCTAGGGGCTTTACTTATTTAGTTTTTAGATCAAACCTACAACTGCGAATATATGGCGTCATCTAGTGAAACGAAGTAGACAGTGACATTTAAAAGTGAATGACAATTATGAAAACTATACTAACTCATCAGCAGGCCTGGAACAATGTCATAAGGACGAGTTGAATAATGGTGTTTTCCTAGGCGCAGTTTAGATGTGGCACAAGTTCAAATGTATCTGAAGTCGTAATTGTCCTAGCGGTACAAGCTTACTGAAAATTACACCACGTCGAAGGGGTTACAGCTTATTTTCTTAAAGTAGCTTAGATGTGGCACAAGGCCGAATGTATGGGATCGAGCCCGCTATTCAGAAGTAATTGATCTAGTGAGAGAAGCTTGCATGCTATCACACCTCGTCGAAGTTCCAAGGATGAGTTGAACTATGATAACATTTGAATTTATTCAGAGCTAGCATCGCTCCAGATATCGAATCTGACTTATGCTGAACAAATACAGATAGAAATTCTAATTTCGAAAGTAGAAACTGCTTTTTAATATTGAGATAAATGTATCATAAGTATCTTTCAAAATATCCTTTCGTGATTATTTATGTTGACATCTCATCAAAAAGTTTTAAGAAACAGGAAAAGCTAAGGAAAATGTCGCCGATCCTAAAAATAAAATTATTAAGCTAAAAGGCGCCAGCTTTTACTTCTGAAAAAATGTAAGAAAAATATTAATCGGAGGAATGAAAGAAAGAAAATTATGAATATAAATAATCGAATTGTGCTAAGACTAAAAGCAAAAGAAGGGAAATGGAAATTGATACAAAATATATATATATGAAATATAATTAGAAAAAAATCTAGTGATTAAGTCACCCCCATCAAAGACAATGTGACAGAGATTGAGTGGGAGTAAGTAAAAAAAAAAAAAAATATGAAAAGAGAAAGAAAAAAAAGACATGTACAGACACAACGACAGACAGAGAATGCCAAATAAAGAGAAACAGAGAGAGAGAGAGAGAGAGAGAGAGAGAGAGAAACAGAGAGAGAGAGAAACAGATACAAAGAGAGAGAGAGAAAAACAGATAAAGAGAGAGAGAAAAACCAGATAAAAAGAGAGAGAGAGAAAAAAAAATCAGATACAAGAGAGAGAGAGAAACAGATACAAGAGAGAGAGAGAGAGAAAGAAACAGATACAAGAGAGAGAGAGAGAGAGAGAGAAAGAAACAGATACAAGAGAGAGAGAGAGAAAGAAACAGATACAAGAGAGAGAGAGAGAAAGAAACAGATACAAGAGAGAGAGAGAGAAAGAAACAGATACAAGAGAGAGAGAGAAAGAAACAGATACAAAGAGAGAGAAAGAGAGAAAGAAACATATACAAGAGAGAGAGAGAGAGAGAAAGAAACAGATACAAGAGAGAGAAAGAGAGAGAGAAAGAAACAGATACAAGAGAGAGAGAGAGAGAGAAAGAACAGAGAGAGAGAAGAGAGAGAGAGAGAGAAAGAAAAACAAAGAGATACAAGAGAGAGAGAGAGAGAAAGATACAGAGAGAGAGAGAAAGAAACAGATACAAGAGAGAGAGAGAAAGAAACAGATACAAGAGAGAGAGAGAAAAAGAAACAGATACAAGAGAGAGAGAGAGAAAAAGAAATAGATACAAGAGAGAGAGAAAAAACAGATACAAGAGGAGAGAGAGAAAGAAAAATATACAAGAGAGAGAGAGAAAACAGATACAAGAGAGAGAGAGAAAGAAACAGATACAAGAGAGAGAGAGAAAGAAACAGATACAAGAGAGAGAGAGAAAGAAACAGATACAAGAGAGAGAGAGAGAAAGAAACAGATACAAGAGAGAGAGAGAAAGAAACAGATACAAGAGAGAGAGAGAAAAAGAAACAGATACAAAGAGAGAGAAACAGAAAAAACAGATACAAGAGAGAGAGAGAGAGAGAAAAAGAGAAACAAAGAGACAAGAGAGAGAGAGAAAGAAACAGATACAAAGAGAGGAGAGAAAACAGATACAAAAGGAGAGAAATCAGATACAAAGAGAGAGAAAAACAGATACAAAGAGAGAGAAAAACAGATACAAAGAGAGAGAAAAACAGATACAAAGAGAGAGAAAAACAGATACAAAGAGAGAGAAAAACAGATACAAAGAGAGAGAGAGAGAAACAGATACAAAGAGAGAGAGAGAGAGAAACAGATACAAAGAGAGAGAGAGAGAGAAACAGATACAAAGAGAGAGAAAAACAGATACAAAGAGAGAGAGAGAGAAAAACAGATACAAAGAGAGAGAGAGAGAAAAACAGATACAAAGAGAGAGAGAGAGAGAGAAAAAAAAGATACAAAGAGAGAGAGAGAAAAAAACAGATACAAAGAGAGAGAGAGAGAAAAAAACATACAAAGAGAGAGAGAGAAAAACAGATACAAAGAGAGAGAGAAAAACAGATACAAAGAGAGAGAGAGAAAAAACAGATACAAAGAGAGAGAGAGAAAAAACAGATACAAAGAGAGAGAGAGAAAAACAGATACAAAGAGAGAGAGAGAAAAACAGATACAAAGAGAGAGAGAAAAAAAAACAGATACAAAGAGAGAGAGAGAGAAAAACAGATACAAAGAGAGAGAGAGAGAAAAACAGATACAAAAAAGAGAGAAAACAGAGAGAGAAAAACAGATACAAAGAGAAAAACAGAATACAAAGAGAGAGAGAGAGAGAAAAAGAGAGATACAAAGAGGGAAAAGAAAATAGATACAAAGAGAGAGAAAAACAGATACAAAGAAGAGAAAAACAGATACAAAAAGAGAGAGAAAATAGATACAAAGAGAGAGAAAAACAGATACAAAGAGAGAGAGAAAAGATACAAAGAGAGAAAAAAAGCAGATACAAAGAGAGAGAGAGAGAAAGAAACAGCAGATACAAAGAGAGAGAAAAAACAGATACAAAGAGAGAGAAAAAACAGATACAAAGAGAGAGAGAGAAAAAAACATACAAAGAGAGAGAAAAAACATACAAAGAGAGAGAGAGAAAAAACATACAAAAGAGAGAGAGAGAAAAAAAATACAAAGAAAGACATACAAAGAGAGAGAGAAAAAAAACATACAAAGAAAAAAAAAATACAAGAGAGAGAGAGAGAGAGAGAAAAAAAACATACAAAGAGAGAGAGAGAGAAAAAAACATACAAAGAGAGAGAGAGAGAGAAAAAAACAGATACAAAGAGAGAGAGATAAAAAAACAGATACAAAGAGAGAGAGATAAAAAACAGATACAAAGAGAGAGAGAAAAAACAGATACAAAGAGAGAGAGAGAAAAAACAGATACAAAGAGAGAGAGAAAGAAACAGATACAAAGAGAGAGAGAGAGTGAAAAAGAAACAGATACAAAGAGAGAGAGAGAGAAAAACAGACAAAAAGAGAGAGAGAAGAAACAGATACAAAGAGAGAGAGAGAGAAAGAAACAGATACAAAGAGAGAGAGAGAGAAAGAAACAGATACAAAGAGAGAGAGAGAGAGAAAGAAACAGATACAAAGAGAGAGAGAGAGAAAGAAACAGATACAAAGAGAGAGAGAGAGAAAGAAACAGATACAAAGAGAGAGAGAGAGAGAAACAGATACAAAGAGAGAGAGAGAAGAAAGAAAGAAAGAGAGAAAAACAGATACAAAGAGAAAGAAAAACAGATACAAAAGAGAGAGAAAAACAAAGAAGAGAGAGAAAGAAACAGATACAGAGAGAGAGAGAAAGAAACAGATACAAAAAGAGAGAGAGAGAAAAACAGATACAAAAAGAGAGAGAGAGAAAACAGATACAAGAGAGAGAGAGAAAAAACAGATACAAAGAGAGAGAAAAAACAGATACAAAAGAGAGAGAGAGAAAAAAAAACAACAGAGAAAGAGAGAGAAAAAACAGATACAAAGAGAGAGAGAAAAAACAGATACAAAGAAAGAGAGAAAAACAGATACAAAGAAAGAGAGAAAAAACAGATACAAAGAAAGAGAGAAAAAACAGATACAAAGAAAGAGAGAAACAGATACAAAGAGAGAGAGAAACAGATACAAAGAGAGAGAGAAACAGATACAAAGAGAGAGAGAAACAGATACAAAGAGAGAGAGAAACAGATACAGAGAGACAGCGAGAGAGAAACAGATACAGAGAGATAGAGAGAGAGAAACAGATGCAGAGAGATAGAGAGAGAGAGATAGAGACACAGATACAAAGAGAGATACAGATACAAACAATGAAAATGGTGACACAAAAGATATATATTGAATTTATATGAATCCACCAAGAAAGGAGAAAAACTGAAAATGCAATGAATGAAAGTGGATAAGTAAAAAGAAGAAGGAATTGAAGAAATCAT